AAGTACCGCGACATGGCGGAGCTCACGATAGCACGGGGGGAGGGAAGGGGGAGGTCCAGACGCCCCAGCCTCGCGCTGAACGCGGGCGCCTGCCTGCTCATGCTTCTTCCGCTCGCACCAGCCCGACTGATGCTGCTCCGCGCGCTCCCGCCTGCGAAGGTCGGTTGGCTTATGCTGCGCTGGCTTCTCGCTGCGCTGCTCTCCCTCCCCAGCCGGCCCGCGAGGAGATTCCACTGCGTCCGCGTGCGCCTAAGATGCCTGTAATCCTCGTCTACGGACATTGGCTCCGCGTCACGCGACGGCGCATTTTCGCTATATGATGCGCTGCGCGAAACCGCCTCGCGCGCCAAGCTGTCGACGTTCTCAATGTCCGTATCATCCCTGTTACTGCAGCCACCGTCAAGCGAACCCGCGGAACCAGATTCCGCGACGGAAGCGAGCTGACAAGCGTTGGGGCGACTTCTGGGGGTCGGCATATTATCGAGAAGTGAATTTCGGCTGTTACGGCGACTCCCGCCGCGAAGGGCGGCGCTCGCAACGAGTCCCCACACTGCCGCGTTGTCTTCGGTATTCTTGCTGTGCTTCTCCCACGCGCTGACGGTGCGCGCCGCAATCTGCGCTCGGCGCTGCAACGCGGGGCGGCGGAGGATCGGCGCGCAAAGGAGCTTCCATGTGCGGTACGACTCCACCACCACGTCGTGCGCCTTCCAGGAATCTTCGAGCCACGAGGCCTCGGGCGCGTAGCTCGCGGGGATTCCGTGCGCGGAAATGTCTTTTGTAAGCAGCGTAGACTTCACTTCTGCTGTTGAATCGGTCCGAAGGGAGAAACAGAGGAGACGAGAAGATACTACTAAGCAGTGGACATCTTTAACGGATTGGTGAAGAAGAACGACGTGCGAAATTCGGACACGCGACTTCTCCGTGCTACTAAGAGGTGCGATTGCTTACCCGCGAGATTTGGCGAAGGGCTTGCGAAGATCGTCGCCTCCACCCATTCCCGGACCTTGGGCAGAACCTTAGCTGCCACGGAATCAACCTGATTCGCCAAAACAAGCGGGTCGTGAGCTGCGATTACGATCAGCTTCCACGACACCTCGGATACCGCGCTGGCGGCCGCAGTCAATCGCACAGGAAACGCAAGGAGCGGCACCACAGGATACGCGTCGCCGGGCTCCTGCTGCTGCGTACCCACGTCGATGGCCTCTATCGGCGCGTTATCAAAAATCACCAGCGGCGACTCCGAGACTCCCCACGGCCGGAACAGCTCCGCTAGCGACGGCCCGCTACTGCCGCGGTTCTTGACGCGATTGTCGCCGCCGGTTCCATCGTCTCGGCACGATATGCTTGGCTTGTCGGTTGAGAAGTCGGACTTTCGTGATGGCAGCGCGGTAGCTGGACGACTCGTCACAGTGATCAAATCACTGTCACGCTGGTCGCCGATGCATGGTAATGCGGAGTTCAATTCAGGACCCGGTGTACTTATCCCAACTACAGTCCGAGGAGGCGCTGTGTCAAGCCGGCGAACAGGTGACGGTAGTAACGGAGAAGTATTACTTGACGGAGACGGAGCAGACAGCTTTGACGAGAACTGGTTGGCTGGCGCGACTCCTAGCGGGGTGATGGGAGGGGAGGCGAGGGAAGGAATTGCGGGAGACGGTTGCGACACGGGACTCAGAACGCACGTCTGCGGCAGAATACCGAGATTCCAGGGTCGCGGCTCGCTGTCGTCGCCACGCAGTGTGCCGTCCAGTTCGAGCCGTTTCCTGCGGCCAGCCAGGGTTGTGGAGAAGGCGGCACCGTGCAGCACCGCGCGTGACGACTTGGACGACGTGCAAATGAAAGTAACGGTCGGAGGCAGTAAGGTTTCGCTGTCGTGACCATCAAGTGGGCTCGAGTAGGAAGCAGTATTGCTACTACAACTGTTACTTTCAGATTTGAGTGCGGAAGCAGCTCGTAATGCAATTTCCGTGAAAAGAAGAATGTCGTGCCATATGGAAACGACATGACCGCCTCGCACGAGGGGCAGCAGGCTTCCCTGAGGTGTGTCTGTGACGATCATTTTTTGTACCTAATGACAGCTATGATATGTACGACTAGTAGCGTAAGTGCGTAAATAAATACCTTCTGAGTGACGGTGGCGGTCATGGCGGAGAGCTAACAGGGGAATGGGAGAGTTTGGTGCTGGTTCGCACGCCAACAATGAATGAATCGGCAAAATGAGCAGACGAAAGTAGTGGCTGGGCTTCAGCTGAGAGGACAGCTCAGTGTGCAGGGGTGTGATATTTGAGTTTCCAACGAAGCCCCACCCAAACGCAAAGAACTGTGAACCAGCCGCTCTGACATGCACAACATCGCATTTCACCGCAATTAGTGAACTGATACGATGGACGTGTCGAACACATGCAAGGAGGAGATGGGAGTTACAGACAAGGGGTCAAGACCGTACGCATCGCACATTCGTGCGAAACTTTCATGCACGCTAGCCACACCTGTACAATGTAATCAGACCCCACCACCGTCCAAAATATCGACCGCGTGAGCCCGCAGTTCGGTCCAGCTTTTTTTTTTTTTTTTTTTTTTTTTTTTTTGGAATTGATGTTTACAGTGATAAGGCTAATTCATACACCTAAAGCAGTCATGACTGAGCGTGAGGGCAAGCGCAATGCGCCGCCCAGCTATGTACATCGAGGGCGGTAGGAAAGCCCTCCTTGGTCTGTTCTGGTCCAGCTATACAAGGACGAATGCCCTTACTGCCCTGAACTATCAGCAAATACACAAAATAAAAATGTTGGGAAGGGGAGATCAGTCCGACTAAAGTGCAATCATTTTGGCCTCCCATAGAAGTCCCTTGTCTGTCCCTTTCTCGAACTGATCACCACCCCCTCCTTCCTTTTTAAAAATCGGTCCATGTGTCACCTGCGTCCATCCAAGTTCAAATGAACCCCCCTAACCAACTGGGGATGATTATCTCAGTTACGACTGTTGTGTTCTGCGTGTACGTCTCTACCCTAAGAGCCTCCACTCTCGCTAATTCTATTGTGTAAGTGTCGAGGATGCCCTACAACGGTACTACACCTAACCACCGCTATTTTCAACCCCGAACCCTTGCGCTGTTTCTGCGTTTCGAAGATACCCTGCACGCATTCGACTATTTCAGTTGGGTACTTGATCAACATGGGGTATGAAGCAACCCGATTTTCAATGTTAAGAAACGCATGAAAGCTAATCTGAGACAATTACCGCTCGCGTGAAGGGGCACTCTTGCTGTTGCGAATTCCCTTGTGCCACTTCTCCTCTTTTTGGGGGTCTGGAACTAACTCACTGTGAAATAGGTGTGAAATTTCTGACGCCCACACAACCCTCGGTCAAAGATTCCAGAAAGGGTGCATACCCACTTCCTCAAGTGGGGTTGTAAATAGACCGAAAGAAAATAGCGGTGGTTATTACAACAACACAGAGCTCGGCTCTGCGCTTTCCAGGGAACTACACCCTAATGCTCACTCTGAACACGCCCGCTGCCACTCCATACGCCCAGTGGTCGACATTCACAGCCAACGGCCCGCGCGTTACTAGCCCACGACAAAACCAAGATGTTCGAGTTTCCCAGACAAAACACGCTGGGCTACCCACAATTTCCGCAACTGTAGTTTTTTTGTCAGCCTTTGTTCTACATTCAGTCCCATTCTGCCCCTAGTGAACGCATGCTCGAGAGAGGAGCACAGGGAAAGATGGGGAAGGGGACTGAAATGGGCATCATGTGTACAGTGCTAAATGCGGGCACTTTCCGCCCCTCCGTCCCTCCGACAGGGAAGTTATTACAACACAGAACTCGGCTCCACATACACCCACGTGTCACTGAAAAAACCTGACAGAAAAAGCGTTCCACCAAAAAGCGTTCCCACTACACCCTGTTTCTCGACCCTCTCACCTTGCGCGATTCGCTGCTACAGTGCGGTCAGGTGCCATAAACCGTATGGCTGAAACCTGCGGGCAAAGCCGCACCAGCTGACGGAGTGGTACTGGGGGCAAAATTTTTCTTTATCGCTGTATACCCTTTTCAACCGCTTTGAAACGCTTGTTTAATGTTCTTTACCATGCAGCATCCTAGCTAACCGCTTTCTTGTGAATGTGCTTGTACCGTCGGTGATAAGACCATTTCAAACGTGGTGACGTTCTACAACCAGTGCATGTTCTGCAACCAGATGCTCTGCTAGCGCGAAACAGGGTGTATCTCTTGTACGGAGAGGAGAGACATCCTTCTCTTTTTTACTGTAACGGGGTTTGCGCGTTTGGGCCAGTGTTTGCAGGGGCGAAATCGCGCGCATCGGCGAAAATCGTGTTTGTCTCAATTGAATCGACCTAAATTGCTCCCTGCTCGCCACGTGGGCGTTTTTCTAAATTGGATCGACCTCCCTTCCCCCCGCCCCCCCAGCCCCCTTTTCCCGCCCTTTCCCTACCGTCATTCGGGCAGCCGCATGCTATCGCGTAAAACTCACAAAGAGTCACCATTTCCAAATTCCAGCCAGGCTCCACACATTCGCCACGGGTGGTTGTTCTTATTGGTCGGAAAATTGGTGATTTGTTCAGCGCGCCAGAGTAACATGCACTGGCTCTTTTGGACGCGCCAACGTTATAGGTAGTGTAACAACGACATGGAGTGGTACCTCGATACCGATCATGTACGGTAATGTAGAACCAGGCGACCAATCGACGGTCATGCTCGAGCATGAGTTCAGACCAATTGCCGAGGGCGGATTTGACAGCGTACATGAACCTAATCCTGCATTCATGAACTTATCCTCGCCGCCAAGCTCTGAACATGAGCTTTCATGCCACATCACGACCGTCACAGCTCCCCTCTCTCGTACCCTTTCCCTCTGTGATAGCTATCAACAATCATCCCACCTTTGTGCTCTTTGTGGTTTGTTTCTTGTACTCGCGATACCTTAGTCATTGCAAATTCGTAGCTATTCGGTGGCGTATAGCGTTCTGGGCGTGTGATGGATCTTCGTAGCAAAACGGTCCTCGGTAAACGGCAGGATGAGTCGGGCCACGAGGAATCCGACGGCGGTGAATCGCACGATTCGGACGTCAAGCTCGTCACCGACGAGCACGGGAAAGGCAGGAGAAAGGGGAAGCAACGGAAAGGACCGGAGAAGCAGCATAGCACCGGTGGCTTCAACTTCAAAACCAACATAGTGAACAAGGAGGTGTTGCCGCCCGTCGATGACATCATCACCGCCTTCACCAAAGGTCGTGGGCCGCCGGCTCAAACTAAAGGCTGTCGCGGCCCTACCATCAAGAGTCAGCACTTCCCAACGAAGCCGTTGTACAACGCCCTCGGCCAAAACGCCTTCGTGAGCCCTATGGACGCGATGCGCATTCAGGATGGATACGAGCTCAGCACGGCATTAATCGACTTCCACAACATGTGAGTGCGTTGTTCCCGCGGGTAAGCAGACTCACACTATAGTGCCGGCGCCTAACACCGGCTCTCCGTGTCTGTGTATTCACCCCGCGCAGTTTGCTGAGCATCAGGCATTCCAAAACACCAAGCGGGGAGACATGGGTTGCGCTTGACACTGGAGCGTATTTGATGGCGGCGAATCAACAGGTTCTCTTCACTGGATTCGAGGGCGGCACCATCCTTGACTACAACTACGTCCTTGTAGTTGTAACTACACTGTAAGACATGCATGCACAATCTCGATGTACGCGCGTACCGCGGCATCGCCATGCTGTGTACTTACATTTAAGTTGGTATTGTGGCAGTGAGCCAAGGCATTTCAGCCTTGTTGTTGTCAAGGAGCCTGGCAGGGCAAGAACAACTGCTATAAAATCGGGGAACACGGAGCTTCCGGTGGCCTACCTGTTCGACTCGACTGGTGATCATCGGAACATGGCTCCGTCGGTGTTCGCCGAGATCCAAACGTAAGTTGCACGGGCATGCATCGCCTCCTAACTTTCGTCGTGCTTATGATCGCACGGTTGATTCGCCGCTTGTAATGCACTTATGCATGCATCGTTGCTGTTTCCAGGCTGCTCGGTCTGGCGCTACAAGCCGAGGAGCCCGGCCTCTCTGCCACCGCAATCAAGCAGCGGCTTGATCCGATGCCTTGCGTCCCGCTTGGGGTAAGCACTCAAATGTTTCGCGCAGTTTTTTTTTAACAGACCTCATCCGTGGAACGTCCATCAATATTGCTCACCTTGTTTGATTTCGCGTGTGCAGTACTATCAGTGCCCGATGCAGGCCAACCAAGTAGACTGTGGTGTCTACGTTTGCATCTACGCATCTGAGCTTGTTGCCCGTGGCTTCGCTAATCTGGACGATGGGCTGCCAGCCTTGCCCTATGGTGGTGGCCTTTTCCGGAGGAGGATGCGTGCGGACATAGTCGAACATGCACTCAAGCGGTTGATCCCAACCCTGGAGAGGTCCGGAGTTATGGTGCCCCACCAAGATCCGCCGCTCAGCAAGCGCGTGAACAAGCCAGTGTCTCCGGAGCTGGCCGAAATCGACGCGAAGCTGCGTGATGCTGTCGGCGACATCCACAACATCTCCTGCCGCGTGGGGTACTGTGAGAAAGACATCACCAAGCTCGAGCTCCTGGTGGAGAGTCTCACCAACGACTTGTCCACCACCCGCGACGAGCTCACCGCGTTGTCAGCGCAAGTTGCAGCCTTACCAGCACCGCCGCAGCAGGGGCGTATTGGAGGAGCGGGCGGACCCAGCGCGAGAACCGACGACCCTGCCACCCAGCAAATTCTGGCGCCGACTGCGCAACTCGAGCAGCAAGGGGATTCTCATCAGATTCAAACGGCCCTCGGCGTTATCAACGGGCTGCTGCCCGGTTCGCCCGGCGATGCATTGACCTCGTATCGTTGCGGTGCGCGCGGTGGAGCTCTGCCTGCCCCTTCGGAGGATCACTCTGGGTGTATGGGCCCGCCGCCACCGCCATCACACTCTGTCGGGGGAGTGGTTGGATCGGGGGAGTACGCGGGTGTTAGGCTCCTCCCAGACGGAACTTGGCAAGCGAAGATTGTCCCTGAGCCCGGGTCATCAAGGACGCTGATTCTTGGCCACTTCCAAGACCAGCAGCAAGCGGCCCGCGCGTTCGCTGCAGCTGCAGCCGTGCTCAGGCGGAGCAAGCCTCCCCGGGGTCGTGTGTGGCAGCTCACCGGCGAGGAGATGGACCTGCTGGATGGCTGCACGGCCGAGATCGTGCGGCAGCTCACTGCCGCACGCGTCTGGGGGCGGTGGGAAAGGTGGCGCGTCGAGATTGCTTCCCTCGGTGGTGCCAAACCCGCCCCTGCACCCCCCGCTGTCGTGGCAGCAGCGCCAACCGCACCCGCAGCTGCTCCAACCACACTTGCCCCGGCGAATGCAGGCATCGCCCCTCCTGCCGTGGCTCTTGCACCTGCACAGCCCACCCCTCCCGGTGGAGCTACTGCTGTGCACGTCGGAACAACTCCTGTGCCTGCGGGGGTTACTCCCGCCCCACCAGCCCATTCTACGCAAGCCACATTAACCAACCCCCCTGTGCAGGCTGATGTGGTGGCGTTTGCCTCGCTGTCGTTGCCAGAGAGCGACGAGGGGGATGTGGGCAACAACGCGACAACCCACCCGACAGGTATTGATTACTTGCAGCGTGGTGTTTAGACAACGCACTAGCCAGGGTTTAGACATTAACCTGCTGTTCTCGTCTTCAGTGTGTCAGAGCCCAACAGCTGACGAAAGTGTGACGATGATCCAATGCCTCATATCGGCGTGTAATCTCTTTTACTTGGAGCTGATTTTCATGAACACCATGCTGGTTTTCGCACTGTTGCCTTTGTTGCTCTTTGCGGGGTTTGTAGGACTGTAGCATTACCAATATGTTGAACTGCTGGCTGTGAGCCATGTTTTTTAGTTCACTAAAGACCCCAACCTGGCGGCAACAAACCCAAACGAGAGTAGTGTTGGAAACAATACGTCTTAAGTACGCTTTGTTGGGTGCAAAATACTATTTTTTGCACTGCAACCAGCCGCCTGCGTGAAGTTATGCATTTTGTGTCTGTTCTGTGTGCATTCGTTTTCGCATTTCATTTCATGTGTTGTTGCTGTGGGATCATGTTCGGCTCATGTTCGTTCATGTCGGCTCATGTTTGTTCATGTCGGCTCGTGTCCGCTCATGTTTGTTTTTCGTCGACGGACATGTGCGTTCATGAATTTTCTGTGTTTCATGAATTTTCTGTGTTTCATGAATGCTCTGTGTCTCATGAATGTCGAGGGTTTTTCATGAGTGCTGTTGAGAGTGTCGAGTGTGTTGAGTTAGGGGCTCGATTGTTTGACCAGCCCCGTTGACCATTTCGCGCTGGTCAATGAAAAAGTGCGCGAAGTCAGGACCCGCGCGTGGGGTCCTGACACGCGCGTGTGGTCGTGCAGGGCCCACGCGTGTGTCGCCACTGTTTCGATCGTGCACAGTGCGCACGATCGATACAGGACGGAGCGACATGATCGCTCCGTCACGCGCAGGACAACGCACGATCGCGTCAGCGATCGTCTTGTCCTACACGACCGAGAAATATCTCGGTCGTGATGAGGGGCACGTGGGGCACGTGGGGCACGCGAGATTTTACGGTTGACTAACGGGATTTCGCGCTGACCAGGCAAGCAAGAAAATTCGCCAGAAAGTCGCGCTGCTTTGTGTGTTCTCCTTTGTGCACCTAGGACCTCTCTTATATGTGTGCTTGTATTTGCTTTCAAAAACAATGCTTTCATGATTTTCAAGCTTACAATCTACTACTACGTATTGACGAGAGTAGATATACAATGAACTCCTGCCGAAACTCTGCTCTACCAAGACGCTCATTCTGCAAACTAAGCGTGGCATAACTACTCGCTTGGTTCACAAGTGATGTTAAGTGTTGCCTAGTTTATGTTTGTGGTTCTGAGTTAATCGCTTCCGCATAGTACTTAGACTTAACACGCTTCTGTCGAGTCAAAATCCAAGGCACCAAGCGAAGCAGTCCCAATCGAAGCATCGAGTCAACCTCGAAGGTTAGGATAACCGCCTGGAGGTTACGGGAGGGCACTGGTGAGCCCCCCCTTCCAACGGACCCCACCCCACCCATGAAATTCGCGCCCAGGCCAACCCCAAACGTAACATCACCGCGTGGCCCGCTTTGGTGTCGCCTGGGTCCTGCAGTGTGAGGACTGGGCCAAGACCCTACCAATTCACCGCTCGCAGCATATACACTATGTCGTGCTCCAGGGCCGAACAACGGCTCCCCCCCATCCGCACTCCCGATGCCAGACCATCTTGCTCCGGCGCGTTCTCGCCCTCCAGAAGCATCACCAAGCGGGACTCCTCTCCCTACACCTCCAATGCCTGACCATCCTGCTCCGGCCCCCATCTGCCCTCCAGGAGGCCCACCAAGCGGGACTCCCCTCCCTCCACCTCCAATGCCGGACCATCCTGCTCCGGCACCCCCCTGCCCTCCAGGAGGCCCACCAAGCGGGACTCCCCTCCCTCCACCTCCAATGCCGGACCATCCTGCTCCGGCACCCCCCTGCCCTCCAGGAGCCCCACCAAGCGGGACTCCCCTCCCTCCACCTCCAATGCCGGACCATCCTGCTCCGGCACCCCCCTGCCCTCCAGGAGGCCCACCAAGCGGGACTCCCCTCCCTCCACCACCAATGCCGGACCATCCTGCTCCGGCACCCACCTGCCCTCCAGGAGCCCCACCAAGCGGGACTCCCCTCCCTCCACCTCCAATGCCGGACCATCCTGCTCCGGCACCCCCCTGCCCTCCAGGAGCCCCACCAAGCGGGACTCCCCTCCCTCCACCTCCAATGCCGGACCATCCTGCTCCTGCACCCCCCTGCCCTCCAGGAGTCCCACCAAGCGGGACTCCCCTCCCTCCACCTCCAATGCCGGACCATCCTGCTCCTGCACCCCCCTGCCCTCCAGGAGCCCCACCAAGCGGGACTCCCCTCCCTCCACCTGCAATGCCGGACCATCCCGCGCCGGCATCCCCCTGCTCCCCGCCGGCCCCACCGAGCGGCACTTCCCGTACTCCACCACCAACCCCCGTGAAGTCTGATCCGCCACCCCCCTGCCCTCCGCAATCGGCCGCGGGGGGCACTCCTCTACCTCCCCTGCCAAGGCCCGCCCCTGCAACGCCACCGCCTCTCCCTCTGCGACCACGTCCAGATGAAGCTCGTCCTCGCCCTCCACGGCCGATGCCAAAAGCAGCCGCTCCGCCATCCCCTTCGTCTGGTATCCCTGAAGGGACTCCAATACCCTCGTGCGCTCTGGCCCGTCTTCCAGGTGCGTTCATCCCCCCCCTGCCAGCCAGACCGCCGCCACGCCTGTTGTACGCGGACGTGTTGCCCTCCGGGAACCCACTCCCTTCGGGTTGGGACGCGGTGTCGACGCCACCATTTCCCGCGTTGACACCACGCTCCTGCCCTCGCTGTGCCCTCCTCCCTTCGCGAGCATCCGCGAACACGAAATCCCTGGCCCCATCAAATGTTGCCCGGGCTCCAGGAGGGGGGACCTGAGGAGCCGGCTGGGGTTGTGGCTGTGGCTGCTGCCGGACAGGCCCGAACAGATATGCGGCCATGTCAGGAAAATCTCGTCGTGCGGCCCCGACAAGCGCAACCCATTTCGTTTCAGACCGACACTTCACCAACCGCCAGAAGAACGCTGTTGCCGCTTTGCCGAACCGCTTAAGGTTCTGCTCCAGATGCCAGGCACAGAAATAATGGGGGATGTGGCTTGGCATCACCTCCCTTGCTGCCGGCACCAACCCCTTATCGCGATCGCTGATGATGGAGGCATCGTCCCTACGCGCCCACTCCGGGAACCCCTCAAGGAACAGCTTCAGAAACCAGGTCCACGCGTCCTTGTTCTCCGACTCCACCAAGGCCCATGCAAGTAACAAAATCTCCTGGTTCCCTTCAATGGTGACGGCGATGAGCAGCACAGCCTTCTGCGCACTAATGAGATGTGTACCGTCGAGCGCAACAACCGGGCGGCAATAATTTAACGCATGCCGTGCTGCAGAGGGACGCACGTAGAATCGGTGGAAACACCGATCTAATGTGTCCAACCGCACTTGAACTTCCGGATCGATGACTGTGAAACGAGTGAGAAGCCACGGAACCTGGCGAAAGGACTCCTTCCAATCTCCATATCGCTCCTTTAAGATGTACTCTCGAAGCCGCCAAGCCTGCCAGTAGTGGATCACTACCCTTCCGTGACCCTCGAGCATTCTTTTGAGCTCCACGGGTGAGATGAAAGGATTTGCACGGACCAAATTGCCGTATCGCCGAGCGAGGATGGGAATAGTGTTGGCTAACCCCTCGGCGTAACCCTGCCTCCAATGCAACGGACACGTATGCATCTCCGGAGAAACGAGTCGCGTAATACGCCATAAACCACCGTGGCCGATTTGCCCATATGTGCAGCTCCATAGGCACGCGGGTAACCATCCGTCCGATGAAGCCTTGCATCCAACCACTGCGTAGTTATGCTTCACTAAAAGGACTTTGACACCAAACCGATGCTCTAGAGCGTACGCATAAACGGCCTCCTTGCATTTATCACGGCTAGAGTACAGGCCCCCCAGCTCCAATGGCGCGTAATCATTAGGCCTGTCGTACCTAGGGTTGAACTCGGGAGCCGCATTAAGCTGTCGCAAGGCCTGCGCTAAGGGATTAGAGGCCATACGCACGCGATAGACGCTACATGGTGACCAGTTTTGGCAGAGATAAGCTATGACTATTGAGTGGAGTACTAATGCGGGCCCGGATATGAGTTGCCTAAAGTAATGACTGCGTTGAGTGTCTACCCGGTATTGTAAAACGGGAGACTCGCCTAAGCTTCACAGGAACATGATGCTAACGGAAGGGTTCATGAACCGTTGAGGATCACGAATGCTTCAATCATGAAACCGTGAAGGCCAGAAATGACATGGCCAGATCCCGAAGGACACAGTACAATCAACCTGTATATAAGCCTCTCGAGTTATAATACATGGCCCAGAAAATTCCGAAATTTTGCTGGCACAAATGATGTGGCTTCCTGCACGTTCAATTACACGTGCCATGGGGTTGGTTGGTTGCTTTTCGTGACTGCTTGTGGCAATTCCGAAGTTCACGCGAGAGCATGCGGCTGCCCGAATGACGGTGGGGAAAGGGCGGGAAAAGGGGGCTGGGGGGGCGGGGGGAAGGGAGGTCGATCCAATTTAGAAAAACGCCCACGTGGCGAGCAGGGAGCAATTTAGGTCGACTCAATTGAGACAAACACGATTTTCGCCGACGCGGGCGATTTCGCCGTTTGCAGGATGTCAGCGACAATTCCTCGGAGTGTGATACAGAATCAGTGAGTAAATATGGACAAACGTGGGAGGGTCCACACACACACACACACACACACACCAGAATCAGCCTCACGAGATTGCTTTCCGCCGTCCCCTCGATCTCCTCCGCGTTTTCTCTCCACATTTTCCGTCAGTTTTAGTGAACATCCAAAGCAGCGAGGCGATGCCCCGAGGACACGCGGCGCTGGAGAATGGGGAGTCCTTCAGCCCTATGTGTGGGACGGTTTTGCACCGCGCTGCACCCTATCTTTTGTGTTCATATTATCACGTATGAAATTACGACCGTGAGTTACACCCAACGATCGTTTAGATTCTTCTACAATAACTTTACGTAATACCAAAACGTCAACTCACATTCTGCTTGCAAATGCTGTAAAGTAAAAATTGAGAAAGTTAGAACGAGAATGAATGAACTATGAAATGAAGTGAGTACAAATATGAAACCCTAATTGGGTTGTACCCCCTATGGGATACCCCACTATAGTCTACAAAAATGAGTAAGCTATAATGTTCTGACAAAAATTATAGGTAAATAATCCCATTGGGCGCTTATGAATGATAATGCTTACATGTAAAGATACATATTCCTATTTTCAGGACTTGCATGCATGTTTAGTATATAGAATGAATCGGTCTGATATTATTATTTTTTGTAAAGAGATTTCACTACAAAAAACCAATATATTTAATGTAGAAGCTTTTAGGACGATTTATCCATACTAATAATTTCCCATGGAATAAAATCATCCAAAGGCTAAAGAAAGGGTGAAAATAAGCATAGTTGTCTTTAAGAATACATTAAAATGAACTAGTATAAATTGCTAACGATAAATTGCTTGATGTTAGATGATTTAATAACATTGCATATAAGTTTAAACGACCATTGTATTATTTTTCTTAATTTTTTTTAGTATGCTCTTATTGATTCAACTTTTGCTGGTCAAACGCTTACCAATTTCACTTATAGGCAGAACATATCGCGCAATCATAACCAACGTTTCAATTACCCCGTACAACTAATAGTCACTCATTATGTCTCTTCAATCACCCCGTACTCATTATTGTCTCTCCATAGTTTTCCTTGTATCAACAACATTAATATTCATGCAATGATATGTTTGCCATATAGGTATAAATTTTATGATATTTGATATCAAATTGGTGGAATACTATTGCTACCTACGCAAAAACAATTCTATGTTTCAGAGCTTCCATATGAGCGTTAACAAAGATTGCGCACATTCCATTTGATCATGGTTAAAGATTTCATGTGCTTATGCTGGAAATCTTGTGTTTTCTGAAGTTTGACCACATTAGCGGAACTACACCTGTCTGCGAATTTCCCAGGCAAATGTCGTCCGTTACTGTATATACTACCTGAAAAGTGTAGCCGAACCTGCTTTTCACGAGCTTGAGGCCCACAGATGTGACATTTTGACATGCGAGCAGATGTGTGAAAACATTCCCCACTCTAGGGACGTGGGCCCAATCGACTTTGATTAGCTCTGATCGGATCGGGTTGGGTCGGATCGGATTGCTTGTGATCGTTTTTCTCGCGCCTTTCGATTAGAGATGATTTTCCCCGAACGTTTTGCGCTCTTGCATGAAAACTGTCGACCCATAACCTGGTAGTTGCATCCCAACTTTGGCGAGACAGACAAATATCAGTATCGTGGTAATGTCGCCAACATCGCCCGCACCGCACAAGGTCCGCACGATGGCTATGGCATACAGTTATCGCCGATCTAGGTGTATTCGCAAGGATTTTCGAGACCTCATGGCGAGACGTGTTAGATTTCGCGTACATCGCCCAGGTCGCCGATCACATGCAATCAAGTGATTGGGGCTGATTGTGTCTGATCAGGTCTGATGGGGCTGTTTCAGGCGGTTGATTGAGTTGGCGCGATCAGCTGATTGCCCTCGATTGCCGGAAATCTGCATCCCGCCTTCCTCGAAGCTTTTGATCACCTCTGATCGCGCCGATCAAGGTCGATTGGCCCCACGTCCTAACCCCCCACCCCGCTGTCAGAATGTTATTCTCTAGCCTATAGTGGGGTGCTCTATAGCGAGTACAACCCATCTAGGGTTTGTTATATGTATCCTCATTGCTGCTAGTGAAACCACCACTTTTGCCTAAACTCCTCTTGCCTAGCTAGGGCTTACCGAGCTATGGCTCTTAACCCTGCCTACTGTCTTCACACCCGCCTCCCCCCAAATACCACGACCGAGCTCCCCCCACACCCCTCCCGTTCACCCTGCCTTCCAGCCCCCTATTCCCAGGTAGAAACTATCAAACCTATATGCTATAGTCTGTGTAGGCTGTAGTGGGGTAGCTCATATAGCGTACAACACTTTAGGGTTTCCTACTTGTACTCCTGATGCTGCTCAATGCAATCATTCCTCATTTCTCACATGGTATCAGAGCTGAGAGCGAGTGTCTAGTAGGCAGAGGAGTGGCCTGAGGCGAGGAGTACGTGAAGTCGAAGCGCTGAAGGACCTTCTGCACCATGTGTGACTGAGTCAGGGTAATGGTGTGGCGTGCTCTGTCCCGAGTGATCTGCAAGCCAAGGTAGCTGCGCAGTTCACCCAGGTCAGTGCACGTGTGTCTCTTCTGCAGCTCGGACTTCACGTGGGCGAGTCCAGCAGTGTCAGCAGTGACAAAGACCAAGTCGTCGACGTACACGAGGATGTAGAACGGCTGCAAGGAGGTGTCGGTGCGCAGAAACAGCGACGGGTCGGCAGTAGACGGAGCAAACCCAAGAGCCGCAAGTGTAGTCCTCAGTGTGTCGTGCCACTCACGGGGCGCCTGGCGGAGACCGTAGATTGGCCGCCGGAGGCTCCACTGGGTACTAGGAGGAAATGACCCAGTGAAGCCAGGTGGGCGGCGCAGCTAGATCTCCTCGTGGAGGCTGCCCTGCAAGAAAGCTGTGCTGAAATCAAGAGAGTGAAGCTCGTAGACGCGCTGAGCGGCTATGTACAGCAGCACCCGAAGAGTGGTCATCTTCGGGGTGGGGGAGAAGGTCTGAAAGTAGTCAACTCCCTGCCGCTGACTGAAGCCTCGAGCCACGTAACGCGCCTTGAAGACAGGCCGAGAACCCGGAGGCCGCTTCACCCTGAAAATCCACATGCCACTGACGATGTTCGCCCCAGGTGGGGGAACCTCGTCGACGTAGGTGCCTGTGCACTTCCAGGAAGCCATCTCTGCGTCCATGGCTGAATGCCACTATGAGGAGTAGGGACCCTCGATCGCCTCAATGTACGATCGAGGAGTCGGAATGTCTGGTGCATCCGGGTCTCCCTCAGGGGCAATCAGCGTGGACACGAGATGAGGCAAAGCAGCAGCAAAACACTGGAACTCCTCCTGCCTGTCCTCAAGAACGTCCGTGCTAAGAGCACACTCACCCCCGACGGATGGAGGACAGACAAACTCAGACTCAGCAACAATACTAGCATCGTAGTCTAGACGACAGCGAGCAGCAAAGTCGACCTGCTCAGCAACTACGGCAGACGCAGCAGTGGACTCAAAGGAAGGGTCTGTGACAGTAGTAGTCAGAAGACGCGTGACAGTGGGACTGGCATCAGGAAGTGAGTCAGACTCCGGGTCAGCAAGAGCAGGAAGAGAGGACTCTGGAGGGGACGGCAAAGGGACACGCAGTGGAGTAGTTGAAGCACGCATCGCCATCTGGTGTGTGCCTGGGACCGCAGGAGGACGCGGACGCGGAACACGACGACTAGTGCGAGCAACAAGAACAGGCGACGCAGGACGAGACGCAGGCTCATGACGCTCAGCAAGACCTCCAGTAGGACCAGTGTAGGGAGAAGGAGCAGGCAGCGGGGAGGCGGGCTGTAACTGCGACTCAGACTGGACAGGCGGCAGACACTCGAAGGAAGGAGCAAGACCACTAGAAGGCGGGAGACCAAGAACCTGCTGAAGGAGCGGAACGAAGTACGACCGCGGTCGCGCATCGCCTCCAGAGCCAGCAGGGACAGCAGCAGCACCCTCAGTGGCAGCACCAGCACCA